GGGAGGGGCTGGAGGGGGGGGGAGGGGCTGTTCACTCCTCTCCCAGAGCTAAGACCCCAAATGCAGTTAAGGGGCAGCAGGTTTAAAGCCACACAAGGAAATATTTTTGTGTCTCCGTCAACCTGTGGAACTCCTTGCTTGAGGATGTTGTAAAGGGGCAGGAAACTGGGCTAGATGGACTTTTGTTCTGAGCCGGTTTGGCTGCTGTTAGGAGGGGGGGGGAGGGGCTGTTCACTCCTCTCCCAGAGCTAAGACCCCAAATGCAGTTAAGGGGCAGCAGGTTTAAAGCCACACAAGGAAATATTTTTGTGTCTCCGTCAACCTGTGGAACTCCTTGCTTGAGGATGTTGTAAAGGGGCAGGAAACTGGGCTAGATGGACTTTTGTTCTGAGCCGGTTTGGCTGCTGTTAGGACACAGCCATAGGGTCAGGAACTGGGGGTACTGGGACGCTGTTGCACCTTCAGATCTGAAGTTGTTTCCATTCTATACAGGATTTACAGTTTGGTTCTATAGCTCTGAATCCCCACAGTACAAACCATCCCAGAACCTGTGGGCACTGCCCTTGGGCACTAGCGGGGACAATGGCCCCCTCTGCCTCCCCCCTCTCTGCACGACTGCTTACTTCTTACAGCAGAAGGAAATAGACTCTTCTGCCAGGTGTGTGTCACTCTGCCCTTAAATTGTAGGCAGATGTCAGTGCAGAGCCTGACTGCAAATCTCTCTCTGCAGCTGCTGTGTGGCTGTGCATTTGGTCTGAGGCTGAGAGAATTCCTAGCTACAAACTTTGAGTTCAGTTTCCTGCTAAACTGGTCTGGCTATTTCTCCCAGAGTATATTTAGCTGTTGAATAATCCTGCCACCTCACTACAGACTAATTGCACCAAAGTTCATGTTGCTATGGAGAAACCCATTGTTTCCTTACACTGCTCTATTATACTGCAGATTTACAGACTTTGCTCTCAGGGTAAATCTGTGCCGTGGTGTACGTGCAGAATTCACATCCCCCGCAGATTTCTGGGCTTCCCACAGAAAAATATCATGCCTCCCTCTTTGCCAGCATGAGCACCTGGATTTAGGTGGGTGGAGACGTAAATTGCTAGGGGGCTGGACATGCAGGAGGGAGGGTTGCTGTCCCTCTTGCTTGCTATTGCAGCCCACCCGTTGTGGAGGGGCAGGCCTTCAAGGTGTGTCTGAGGAGGTAGGCATGGGGCTCTGTCCCCTCAGCAGAGGAGAACGAAGCAGCCTCCTGTGTAATGAATTGTTCCTATTGTCGTGAATGAATTCCCCCAGGAATATACGACAGATGTAACCGTTTCAAGGACAGTAGGTCTTACAAGTGCTTATGGTGCTTACGTGATTAAAACTAGTCTACATTTTTGGACTGATAGATCACTATGTGCTTAGGAACTTGGTAGTTCTGCCCTTCCTGGGGATGGTCAGTAGCCAGTAGGAATTGTGAGTTTGAATTCCCAGCCCTCTGCAGTTGCTTGTGATGTAACACTGGGCATGTGGCTGCATAGACTTGTTCACTAAAAGCTAGAAGTAAAGGGTCGATACTTTACTATGTGACCTGGGTTTGGGGATTTTCCCCAATGCTTCTCAATCCCATTCTCTACCCACTGTATTGCAGCTTAAATAAATTACAAAAATAATTGAAACTAGCATGATTACATGCAGATTGTTGCAGAATTTTAAAATATCTTGCACAGGATTGTTAATTTTTTGGTGAAGGAGTTTTTATTTATTTTTTTTTTTACACAGAATTCCCCCAGGAGTAAAACTGAATTGTAACCTATTTAAGAGGAGGAGAATTCTAATTCATTACAGAAGGCTGGCAGTCTTAAATAGGTTCTCTTGCTCCCCATTTATTTCTTTTTCATTAACTTCCCTACCCAGGGTCTGTCAATATGGAGCTGCCTTGTCATTTTATGTTAAGAAATACTAGTTGAAGTCCAATGCAAATGGTACAAGATCAGCTGCCTGAGTCTCTCCTGCAAACAGCGGTGCAAAGTCCTGCTTTCTCGCTTCCACGGGGGCTTCTCTGACCCCTGCGATCTAACCTGGCAACGTAATGAAGTCAGTCGTTTTAGAAGTGAGGCCCAGGGCTTGACAGGTTTTGAGTGACTAGAGTACGGATGCCGGCGGCAAGAGCCTCTCCATATCTGCAGCAATGAGGACACGCTCTCGTGCTCTGCCATCGTGCTGCTACTGACACCTGAGGGAGGCACCTCAGTGGCTTAGAGGGGAGTTCAGTCTCTATGGGGCCAGGCCTCTGAGCAGAGGGCCAGTCAGTGCTAATGGCGGGTTTGCGCCAGGGGTACACATCTGACAGGAGGTGGCCTGAGACCAGCAGTTCATTTCAAACAAGCTACGGAACTGCCATCCGATAGAAACCATTTTCCTTCACTGCAGGCCAGGAGGAATTTGAACCCATGAGCCATGGCTGCTGTGAGGCAAAGCTCCAGTGCCACTAACAATCGCTGGGGCCACTCTCTGCCACACCCTAAGTGTCTGTCGGCACTGGGCACCTACGAGAGGGCAGGTCTACCGCGTGGCTGATCCTTATCCTTGTATTTGGCATCGTAGGTCCTTGCTCCTCAGCCTCTACGAAACAATGCTCCGGCTCCGGCTCCTGACGTGGGACGTGAAGGACACGCTGCTCCGGCTCCGGCACCCAATAGGGGAGAATTACTCTGCTCTGGCCCAGGTTCACGGAGTCCAGGTGCGGCCGGAGGCTCTCACTAAGTCTTTCCATCAGGCTTACAAAGTCCAGAGCAAGCACTTCCCCAACTATGGCCTGAGCAAGGGGCTCAGCTCCAAGCAGTGGTGGGCAGACGTGGTCAAACAGACCTTCAGACTCGCTGGCGTCCATGAGGACAGGCTCCTCACCTCCATTGCGGAAAGTCTCTATCGGGAGTACTGCAGTGCCCAGACCTGGGAGCTGCTACCAGGTGCCAGGGAGACTCTGGGGCAGTGCCGCCAGCTGGGCATCCGCATGGCCGTAATCTCCAACTTCGACATGCGGCTGGAGAAGATTCTGTCTCACTGCAACCTCAGGCATCATTTTGACTTTGTCTTGACCTCGGAGGAGGCTGGCTTCGCCAAGCCAGACCTGCGGATTTTTCAGAGGGCTCTACACATTTCTGGGGTCGCCCCCCAGCAGGCGGCTCATGTGGGGGACAGTTATGTGAAGGACTATAGGGCAGCCCGAGATGCGGGCATGCACAGCTTCCTGCTCACAGCGGCGGGGTGTGCAAACAGGTGGGAGCGAGAGGTACCAAAGGAGCATGTGCTGCCTTCGCTTACCCACCTGCTGTCTGTTATCGGGAAGGGTTAATGGCGAATTCCCTCGCCTCCCCACAGGGACGACGTGGATTCCAGGCATTACAAAGAGGGATGGGTTGTGCTGCAGGGGGAGGAGAGGGGATTTGGTTCTCCACCTGGTGAATCAGGTTCTAAAGAATCTGCTATAGAGAGGGGGCAAAGGAAAGCCCTCTGACCCCAGGGAGATGTACTTGCTGGCATCACCCACAACAGAACATTTGTGATCCAATGCAATAAACCACTACAGCTCCTTGGCACTTCTCTGCCCCTTTCCTCCAGAGCTCTCAGCACCGACCGGAGGGGGCTCAGTGCTGTTGTCATTTCGGGGGGGGGGGGCTACAGGAATGACGGCAAAGGTCACCCAGCACGTCGGCACAAGGACCAGAGTGTCAAGCGAGTGTCCTGTCCCTGGCAGCTCTGAGCCCAGCCGTGAACCCTCCGCGAGGAAGGGAAGAGCCTTTCTTCCATGCTTCAATGAGCAAAGCCGCCCTCTAAACACCCTATACGCTGACCCACCACAGCCGCCCTCTAAACACCCTATACGCTGACCCACCATGCGGGCTGGTGGTGAGGATCCCATGGGATTCCCCCTGGCCATGGGGCAAAGACTGGGTCTGGGGGTGCTGACAACTGCTCCAAGTCAGAAACTGGCCAGCAGCCCAGGCTGAGCAGGTACTTGCTGCCATGCCCCAGCCAAGTGCCATGAAAGCCGCCTAAGGACAAGCAGCTAGTGAGCAGTAAGCTGTGCTGCAGGCCCCTGCACTGCCTGGCCACGCAGACCTGGCTGCTGAGCCACTTTGAAACAGAAGCAGCTGGAAGGGCACGTCCGTATCTGGCAGACTAAAGGTGCAGCCCAGCGTGCTGCAGACAGTGGGGCTGTGTGTAGACTGACCAGTTTTTCCGGAAAATCAGCCGCTTTTCCGGAAAAACTTGCCAGCTGTCTACACTGCCGCTTGAATTTCCGCAAAAGCACTGACGATCTCATGTAAGATTGTTAGTGCTTTTTGCGGAAATACTGTGCTGTTCCCATTCGGGCAAAAGTCCTTTTGCGCCAAAGGGCCAGTGTAGACAGCTCAGATTTGTTTTCCACAAAAAAGCCCCGATCGCAAAAATGACGATCGGGGCTTTTTTGCACAAAAGCACGTCTAGATTGGCCACGGACGCTTTTCCACAAAAAGTGCTTTTGTGGAAAAGTGTCCATGCCAATCTAGATGCTCTGTTCCGAAAATGCTTTTAACAGAAAACTTTTCCGTTAAAAGCATTTCCGGAAAATCATGCCAGTCTAGACAAGCCCATGTCAAGGAGTTAAAAACCAAGATACTTGTATTTAAAAAGGGGAGAAGCTGGCCCAAGCCAGGGTCCCTAAGTCTAACCACACGAGGCTGTGCCTCGTTTCTAAGCCACTTGTCCCTGAACCCACCCAACATGGATCAGATTTTAGGAGCCCTGCACAGACACAGAGCTGCAGCTCTGTCTGCAGAAATGAGCAGTGGAGAGCGGCGCTGACATCTGCGGCTGTGGGTACCCGCGGGTAGAAAGGGATAGCCACGGATTAGCAGGGATCTATCGGTTTTATGCCATATTTATCAACAGGCTTTTCTGTGGCACTCAGCTTGGTAGGATCTCAGTGCTTCTCGCACAGCCATGAATTTAGTCTCCGCTGCCCCTCTGAAGTCTGGTGGGGCGAGCCCCTGTTCTGTGGAGGGGGACTCAGGCATAAAGCTGTTCCAGGACAGGTGGATAGGATAGGCTGACAGATTAAAATGTATTGTTCGAACCGCAGCTACAAGGTATAGGGTGGTAGTGACCAGATCAGAGGGGCAATATGTAACTTGTCTGTAGCACGGAATTAGAGGGGTTGCAGGAAGTGTGTTTTATCTGGCCTGCAGGGAGCAGAAGTGTCCCACTTTTTGCGGAAAAGCGTCTGTGCCAATCTAGACGTGGTTTTGCACAAGAAAGCCCCGATCGCCATCGGGGCTTTTTTGCACAAAAGTTTTCAGCTGTCTACACTGGCCCTTTTGCGCAAAAGCATTTCCGGAAAAGGGCTTTTGCCCGAACGGGAGCAGCATAGCATTTCGGCAAGAACACTGACAATCTTACAGGAGATCGTCAGTGTTCTTGCGGAAATTCAAGCGGCCAGTGTAGACAGCTGGCAAGTTTTTCCTTGGGCCAGTCTAGATGCAGCCCAAGATGGGCCAATGAGCCAACCCTGCAGGGCAAGTCCAGTGTAACTAGACTGCCTGGAAAGAGTTCTAGGGGGCTGCTGCTGTTACAAAAGAAGCTCCCAGCAGGCACTTGGGCGGTAGCCAGAGCCTATTTCGGTCCAAGACACTGATCTAGAAAGGGTTAAGCACTAGCAGGCTCACTAATCCAGATTCCACCTTTTGCGACATTTTAAGAGAGAATGCTTGTGGGTTTACATTTGGGGTTAGAGGCTGAAAAATGTAGCCAAACAGTCCAGCTACGTCTAGACTGGCAGGATTTTCCACAAATGCTTTTAACGGAAAACTTTTCCGTTAAAAGCATTTGCGGAAAAGAGCGTTTCTAGATTGGCACGGATGCTTTTCTGCAAAAGCACTTTTTGTGGAAAAGCGTCCGTGGCCAATCTAGACGAGCTTTTGTGCAAAAAAGCCCCGATCGCCATTTTCGTGATCGAGGTTTTTTTGGGCAAAACAAATCTGAGCTGTCTACACTGGCCCTTTTGTGCAAAAGCTTTGCGCAAAAGGAACTTTTGCCTGAACAGGAGCAGCATAGTATTTCCGCAAGAAGCACTGATTTCAGACAGTAGGAAGTCAGTGTCTTGCGGCCGGTGTAGACAGCTGGCAAGTTTTTCCGCAAAAGCAGCTGCTTTTGTGGAAAAACTTGCCAGTCTAGACACAGCCTCCTTGTCTATCTCTGCAGTCAGTTAATTCAGAGACCAAACAGAGATGTTAACATCGAGATGAACTATGAAGCTTTGTCTACACTGCAGAGTTTTATGCAAGAAGCTTTTTGTGGAAGAGATCTTCCGCAAAAACTTCTTGCGCAAAAGCGCGTCCACACCTCAAAAGAGCATCACAAAAGCCATGCGCTTTTGCGCAAGAGAGCATCCATGCTGCATGGACACTCTTGCACAAGAAAGCTCTGAGTGCCATTAACAGAATGGCCATCAGAGCACCTGTGTTTTTTCTGATAGGCTCTTTTTGCACAAGAAACCCCTGCAGAGTGTCCATACTTGCCTTTTTGCACAAGAGCTGTAGCAAAAAAAGGAGTTATTCCTCATGGGGAGAGGAATAACTCTACCCATAAAAGCCCTCTATCCTGTTGATTTACTGTATTTTTTTTTTTTGTTGCTGTTGTTGTTTTTTTTTGTGCAAAAATGATCTTGAGGTGTGGAAGCTCTGCCGGTTTTTGCGCAAAAACAGTCACATTTGTGCAAACACCTTGTAGTGTAGACATAGCCTGAGTGTAGTAATAGGCTGTGTCTACATTGGCACCCTTTTCTGTAAAAGGGATGCTAATGAGACACTTCGGAATTGCAAATGCCACGGAGGATTTAAATATCCCACGCGGTATTTGCATGAACATGGCTGCTGCTTTTTTCCAGCTCGGGGTTTTGCCAGAGAAAAGCGCCAGTCTAGACGGGATCTTGCGGAAAATAAACCCTTTTCCGGAAGAGCCCTTATTCCTACTTGAAAGTAGGACTGGCGCTTTTCTCCGGCAAAACCCCGAGCCGGAAAAAAGCGGCAGCCATGTTCATGCAAATGCCGTGGGGGAAATTTAAATCCCCCGCGGCATTTGCAATTCCGAAGCGTCTCATTAGCATCCCTTTTACAGAAAAGGGTGCCAATGTAGACACAGCCATAGTGTCTCCAGCTCATCGGGCTCACCCTGCATTGGACATTGTACTAGAACCTATGGAACTAATGCGGAACGAACTCAGGTGGCTCTAGAGCTCACTAGCTGTCCTATGAACCTGACACAAGCCTTTTGTTCGTGATTGTCTGTGTGATCTTCCAACTGCTGCTCTTCTTTTTTAACAAAGCTTAGTTTTGGTAACAAGAATTGGCTGTATGTGGGTGTTTGGGTAAGGTCTGAGGTACTCCTTGGCCAGGTAATGGGTCTGAGCCTTTGGGACTGGTGGAATTGTGTGTAGGGTGAATAGGGTTTTCCATCACCCCCTCGTACTTGACTTGCCTCTCGGGGGAAGCCCAAGGTTGGATTATGTTAAGGCAATTGTGTTTCTGACTTCTGGGTAACAAGTAAGGTATCGCCAAAGCTGTTTTATTGCTGGATTAGTGACTCTAGAAACGATCTCCAGTTTGTGGATTGTCTGCCCCATTCTTTGTGATTTGCCTGTATTGGGCACGTCCCGTGTGGCCCCTGGCAGCCTCGTCACGCGGTGCCAGGAGTGACAGAAGAGGCAGCGGGTGATGTGCCCAGTTGGGGGTCTCTGCTGAAGGCTCCCGCTTCTCCCCACAGAGCTGGCAGGTGAGCTGCTGCCCCGTGCCAGGAGTCACTCACTGAACAAGTGAGATGCTCTGGTGGGCCACAGCAAAGGCGGGGTAGATGGGCTCAGTGAAGACCTCCCGGTGCGAGTGGAGGATGACGCAGGCAGTGGGGTCGTAGAACAGCACTTCTCCCCCGTCCAAGTCGACCACCACCCCCACCTGCGTGGGGCACTTGACTAGCTCCACCACCTGATGGTGGCTGTTGTGTGAGAAGCGGAACTCCTTATCGTAGCGGGAGAACACCCAGGAGAAGGGATTATAGCCCAGCCGGGCCGCGTTGCCAGGCCCTTTGCGCTGCAGGGAGCTGGAAGAAATGCCCAGCTTGTATGCACAGCTCTTGTCCACGCTGACCCTCCAGGCGTGGGTCCCTCTGTGGAAGGCCTTCGCGCCCACGGCGTTGGGCCAGTGGTCGAAGCGCTCTGGGCAGTCTGGACAGGGCTTCGCCCTCTTGGGGCTGAAGGCCAAGGTTCGCTTGTCTTCGGACAGGGCCAGCAGGGGGCTGACGGTTCTTTCATCTATGTGAACCTCTTCCAAACCTGCGAGGGAAGCCAAACAAGCAGTCAGGCTGAGCCACGGGCCCTGGGCCAGGATCTAGCTTGTGGCCATACTTCCCCGAGGAAGCGGCTCTGGGCTGAGGCCACCATGGCTTCCTCTGGCGCTTGTCAGCACCTACCTGGGCCTGCAGGCCAGGGGCCAGGCAGGGCTGCTGCTGAGGGGATGAAACCTCCAGGAACGGCCATCAGCCGGCTTGTGGGCCACAGGATCCTGGGTCCCGTCTGCCTCACCACGGCTGAGGATGGGGGTGCAGGAACCGGAGGGGAGGGCCTTTCCCAAAGTGGACAGGCCTGGCTAGGCCACATTTGCCAGCACAAAGCCCCCCCCCCTTTCTTCCCTGAAGCCCCACTCCCCACAAGCTGGGGAGCCCAGGCGAGCTGCGCAAGCCTCACTTGCCCCAGGCGGGCAGCCCGGGGGGACGGGATACAAGCTGGGGGCTGCCCTGGGCAAGTGGAGGGTCCACTGCGGCTCCCACAGCCAGGCTGCAGCTGCAAGGCCCTGCCCAGAGCTGGGGGGGGGGGTAAGAGCTGCACGGGCAGCTGTGGTGCATGTGTTCAGGGCAGCCGGGGGGCAGGGACACAGGCAGGGGCCGGCTTTCAACCCCACCCCACTCAGGGCAGGAGGGAGAGAAGGCTCCCTGGCCCCTCTCTGGGGGAAGAGGGGTAGAGTGAGCCGGTGGGGAACACTCCAGAATCAGCCTCCCAATCAGATTAGCTTCACAAAACTAACGTGGTCCCTCCAGATACTCTAATGCAGGCGCTTTGTGTTGCCTTCCGAGCGTGTCAGGACGTTCAGGTCCCATTTTAAGCTTCTCTCTGCGACCATTAGGGCTAGAAACGTCTCCACGCGCTGGGTTTTTTCAGTAAAACTGCTGCTCTCCACAGGCCTTGCAATGAAGCGGTGAGGTCTGGCAACACTGCTCTGAACATGCAGCCTTTCTAACGCCACGGCCAGTGCTGCGCCGCGGTGCTGGCTCCCCTTTGTACTCTGGGCCACGTCTCTGCAGCATGGCACTGCTGAAGCAAAGAAGCATCAGCCCTGTTCTCGTTAGCGCCGGCTGCTGCTGAGCGAATTGTGAGCGGCGGAGGAGAATTCCCACTAACAAGCCGCTCTCTGCGGACGCGCCCTGGTGCATGCGGAGACTCTGACGCGCGCTTTGAAGTTGCTCTCAGCTCCCACTTGCTTTCGCACACACAGGCCTGGGGAGCGGGCGCACCAGGCAACCCGGGTGTTTGCTTAGGCACAGGAGGACTCCGCTTGCAGGGGGGTCCCTGGAGGAATGTGCAGCTGGGAGCAAGACACTGACCTGTGGCACAGCTGAGAACAGCAGAGGCCCACAGCTGGTGCAGTAATGGACTCTGAACACATTTCTGATTAAAGTTTAACTTCTCCGACTCCTGAGGCTCCAGGATTCCATCAGCTGCCTCTGTCCTAGGAAGGGAAACAGAGGAACCATTTCAACACCACTGAGCCAGGCTGCTCCCCGAGGGACGATGGAATGCAGCAAAACTACACCCAGGACGAGGCGTCTTCCTCTAGGCTCCCCCAGGCTGGTTTCAGGAGCGTTTGACTCCAGGCAGTTAGACAGACACTCGTGTTTTACAGTGAAACCCCAACACCCAGGAGTTGTTCCGCTTCCCACAGCGCCTGTTGAGATAGCACAAACCGGTGGGAGGCAGCTCTGCTGTGTGAGCGTGCTAGGGTGGACCAATCTGATTTCCTGTAAAGCCCTCTACAGACTTAGCCTCATGCTGCAGGTAGGGACAGCCCAGCTGCCTGGCGGGTCTGACATGGCCTGGAAAGGAGACTGATCCCTGCAGGACCTGGCTCACTCATGGAGTTTCCTGGGCTGGTAAGGAAGGGCTGAGGCCCTGAGGTTTGCTCCTAATCAGAGCTAGGCACAAGGCAGAAATGTGCCACCATCAGGAATGCAGGCAGTGCTAAGGAGGGTGATAATTACAGCTTCCTGCAGGGGGCGCTCACAGCACCAGAGGAAAGGCAGCCTCCTTCCAGCCCAAATTGAAAAGTCATCCCGTTAGGCCACCAGGCAATTCCCGCCAGGTTCCCCTTCTCAGGGGCTGTGAAAGGCCCAGGGTGCTGGGGGCCAGTGGCAGCACTGCCGGGCTCTCTGCACCTCACGGGTCTGGTTAATAAGGAGGCTGCGCGAATGCAGAGCCCGCCCTCCAGGAGGAAGTGCAAAGACAACATGAACTTGCTCCCGCTCTGTGCAGTTCTGCGCTGGGCCTGCCCGCAGGCTTGGAGCCCTGCAGGCCCTGGCACACAGTCCCACAAGGGACTCGATAAAGTAAGTCTGCCCGAGAACGGGGAGGGAGCCAGGAAGGGCCCTGAACATTCGGTTACTCACCTCTCGAAGATCTCCTGCTCTGCGAGCTGGGGACAAGGGGAGAGACAATCACAAAGGCTGAAATTCTCATCTTCCTATCTATTTTAGAAATGTCTGTCTGTCCGTCCGTGAGACCATTTGTTCAAGAACTGCTAAGTGGTAAGAGCTAAGACCACCAAGTGTGGCATGCAGCAACCATTCGTTTGCTTGCCTTCTGGTTTCTGGGCTTGTAAGGAGCGTTCTGGTCCCATCTTCTCAGCAGCCAGTAGGGCTAGGCACAAACTTTGTTTCAATGAAAACCAAGATTGTGACATAATCAATAGGCCTCTTACAATTTTTGCTGCTCTTCTCTGAAACTGATCCGATTGCAATATACTTGTTTGAGATGGGGCGAACAGGACAGCATGCTGGAGATTTCTGTGTACCATGGATTTACACAGAGGCATGTGATACGTTTTGTCTTATTATCTATCCCTTTCCTAATGGTTCTAACACAGTTTGCATTTTTGACTGCCACTGCACATCGAGCAGATGTTTTCAGAGAACTATCCACAGTGACGCCAAGGTCTCTTTGGAGCGGTAACAGCTCATTTCAATCACATTGCTTTGTACGTATAGTTGGGATTATGTTTTCAAATGTGCATTACATTTGCACTGATCAACACTGAATTTCCAACACTGATGCAAGAGGCCTGACGTCAGGCTCTCCCTGGTGTTTCAAAGCGGCAGCACCGCATGGAGCCCAGGGTCAGCAGCAGTCCCCAGCTGACTCTGGGCTCCATGCAGCACTATTACCTTTGAAGTGCAGCAACAGCCGTAGGGCTCTTGCTACACTTCAAAAGTGGAGGTGCCCTAACGACTAATCGAATAGTCAATGCACAATTCATCGACTATTCAATTAGTCCATTACTCGATATTTAACATCCTTAGTAAGGGGAGACCAGCGGGAACATTTCAGAAGTTCCCGCACCTGTTCCTAGCTCTTAGGGGGCAGCCACATTTCTCTGCCCCTTCCAGCCAGGTGGCTCCCTGGGTAGCCACAGCAGCTTCCCATGACCAGTGAAGGGACATGGCTGATCTGGGATGCAAACGTGAGTCGGTCCTGAACTGCCAAATGCCGCCCTCCAGAGCCAACAGCAACAGCAGGAGAAGCATGGCTGCAGGCTAGACCGGTCCTCGGCACAGGACTGTGGTACTTACCACCAGGCCATGGTCATTGAGGTTGGTGATCATGTCTACTAGGTAGGTCCGGAGAGCAGTGAGTTTCTGCAGGGACTCGGTCCAGTGAGCTCGCTGGGTCAGGATGCTCTGGTGAGCCCTCTCCTCCTCCACGTGCACCTTCTCCAGCAGTCGCTGCTCTTCATTCTCACACATGCTTCTCACAAGGATCAGTCTCTGGACCACCACTTCCCGGGCCCCGCTGGCCGCACTCTGCCGCAGCAAAGACAAGGGAGGGAGAGAGGTCGGGTGACCCTGCCTGGGTGCAGCAGCCGTCCCACTGGCACGCTGGAAAGCTACCACCAGAGCTGGCTTTCAGGGCGCCCCAACGCTGAGTTAACCTCCCTGAAGTCACTGGGCTCACAGTGGTGTAAGCCAGTGTGAGGTGGGAACCGGGCATCTCCAGCTCCCATTGCCATGTTTCTAAGGCACCAGCTGGTGTTGCCATGGATACTAAGTGCCAGCTTGACACTCAGCAAGGACCAAAATTTCAGCTTTGTATAAAAACCAAGTTTTAGCCCATGTCATATTGAGGAAAGGAGCCCTTGCTGATGAAGCAGCAGCGCGGGGAGGGGAAGGTGGGCAGGCAGGAACAGATACATGCAGGGAGCTGGCTTAAAAAACAGCTCCACATGTGTACCATCTCTGGGGAGCCGACTGCTGCCCTGCATGTAACCGTGCAAGCACCCGTGCAAGCACTGAAATGTTCAGCAATTGCACGATTACTTCATGAAAGGCATTTTAACATCCCTAGTTAATACCGTGGGAGACCCAGGAAAACTGCCTGTTCGTTCCGGGGGATGGTCAGCGAGGGTGCCTACACATAGCCGGGCCCAAAGAGTAAAGCCGCACGGGGCAGCCGCGGTGCTTGTGCTGAGTGGGGGTTTGTCCCCTGTGAGATGCAGGCTGTACGTGTCAGCTCTGCCCGCGCTACCCTAGCTCGGACAGGGCGGAGAGTTACCAGAGCACTTTGGTTCTTCCCGGGCAGCACCTCGGCCATGTATTTGGTGATGGCAGCACTCTGCAGCTGGAGCTTCTCACACCGATCCACGAGCTGATTCTAAAACAGAGAACCAGAGCTCTGTACTTGGCCCCTCTGCCCAGCCAGCACCGCGGCGCTCAGCTTTCAGGGACGTTGTCATTCAGCCTCCCTTCGCACCAGCTCCCTGGGCGCTGCCGGCTCTCAGCCCCACTGCAATCAGCTGCAAACACACCCCAGCTTTGCACCAAGAAATAAACCCCTGGCTTGTGATAAAGTCTGGTGCTTGGTGGAAGAAGTACCGCATGGGACTAAAATCTCCCTGAAAGCCCGTGTGTTTCCTGATCCCCACTGGTAGAATCTGCATGTGGGCGCCTGATTCTCTGACACGTCCGGGCTCCTTTACGCCGCTCTGGCAGCGGGAAGAGACAGAATCTCAGTGGAAATAGCTTCTAGGACTATCCCCAGCATAAGGGCTTTTATACCTCCCTCCCTAGCCACTGGCATGGAGCATGCAAAGGGGGGAGGGGAGGGTGCCGCCATGGCTAGATCAAAATAGCTCCTGCTAGTCTCACCTGGAATGGCTGGGGGGGCTGTTGCAGCCAATCAGAGCTTGGGGCAGGCCTGAGGCTGAAGCCACGGAGCCCAAGCAGCCTTTGATCTCGCATTACTGAACTGACCAGGGTGCCCAGGCCTCCCTCCGAATCATGGCCCACAGGGCAACCCCCATCCCTGCCCATCTGTAACATGGGACAGGATCGGCTCCGCCAGGGGGCGCTCACAGCCTGCCCTCGTGTCTGTAGTCACTCGTGCCGATGTATGATTGGCCACCTAAGTCACAGCGCATCGCTGCTGCTCGCTGATTGGATGGCTGGGACTTTTTAAGCGGGGGACTGTGGCCGAAGGCGCTTTCCAGGCTCACACTGCCCTGCGGACACACACCTACACACTGCCCTGCGGACACACACCTACACCCTGCCCTGCGCACACACACGCACACACCTACAGCCTGCCCTGCACACACACACCTACACACTGCCCTGCGGACACACACCTACACACTGCCCTGCGGACACACACCTACACACTGCCCTGCGGACACACACCTACACACTGCCCTGCGGACACACACCTACACACTGCCCTGCGGACACACACCTACACACTGCCCTGCGGACACACACCTACACACTGCCCTGCGGACACACACCTACACACTGCCCTGCGGACACACACCTACACACTGCCCTGCGGACACACACCTACACACTGCCCTGCGGACACACACCTACACCCTGCCCTGCGCACACACACGCACACACCTACAGCCTGCCCTGCACACACACACCTACACACTGCCCTGCGGACACACACCTACACACTGCCCTGCGGACACACACCTACACACTGCCCTGCGGACACACACCTACACACTGCCCTGCGGACACACACCTACACACTGCCCTGCGGACACACACCTACACACTGCCCTGCGGACACACACCTACACACTGCCCTGCGGACACACACCTACACACTGCCCTGCGGACACACACCTACACACTGCCCTGCGGACACACACCTACACACTGCCCTGCGGACACACACCTACACCCTGCCCTGCGCACACACACGCACACACCTACAGCCTGCCCTGCACACACACACCTACACACTGCCCTGCGGACACACACCTACACACTGCCCTGCGGACACACACCTACACACTGCCCTGCGGACACACACCTACACACTGCCCTGCGGACACACACCTACACACTGCCCTGCGGACACACACCTACACACTGCCCTGCGGACACACACCTACACACTGCCCTGCGGACACACACCTACACACTGCCCTGCGGACACACACCTACACACTGCCCTGCGGACACACACCTACACACTGCCCTGCGGACACACACCTACACCCTGCCCTGCGCACACACACGCACACACCTACAGCCTGCCCTGCACACACACACCTACACACTGCCCTGCGGACACACACCTACACACTGCCCTGCGGACACACACCTACACACTGCCCTGCGGACACACACCTACACACTGCCCTGCGGACACACACCTACACACTGCCCTGCGGACACACACCTACACACTGCCCTGCGGACACACACCTACACACTGCCCTGCGGACACACACCTACACACTGCCCTGCGGACACACACCTACAGCCTGCCCTGCACACACACACCTACACACTGCCCTGCGGACACACACCTACACCCTGCCCTGCGCACACACACGCACACACCTACAGCCTGCCCTGCACACACACTGTCCTGCGTGCGCACACCTACAGCCTGACCTGTACACACACACGTACACACTGCCCTGCGCGCACACAGCTACACCCTGCGCTGCACACACACATACACACACCGCACGCACGCACACACCTACACCCTGTCTTGCACGCGCACACACTGCCCTGCGCGCGCGCACACACCTACACACTGCCCTGCACGCACACACACTACCCTGCACGCACGCACACACCTACACCCTGTCTTGCACGCGCACACACTGCCCTGCGCGCGCGCACACACCTACACACTGCCCTGCACGCACACACACTACCCTGCACGCACGCACACACCTACACCCTGTCTTGCACGCGCACACACTGCCCTGCGCGCGCGCACACACCTACACACTGCCCTGCACGCACACACACTACCCTGCACGCACGCACACACCTACACCCTGTCTTGCACGCGCACACACTGCCCTGCGCGCGCGCACACACCTACACACTGCCCTGCACGCACACACACTACCCTGCACGCACGCACACACCTACACCCTGTCTTGCACGCGCACACACTGCCCTGCGCGCGCGCACACACCTACACACTGCCCTGCACGCACACACACTACCCTGCACGCACGCACACACCTACACCCTGTCTTGCACGCGCACACACTGCCCTGCGCGCGCGCACACACCTACACACTGCCCTGCACGCACACACACTACCCTGCACGCACGCACACACCTACACCCTGTCTTGCACGCGCACACACTGCCCTGCGCGCGCGCACACACCTACACACTGCCCTGCACGCACACACACTACCCTGCACGCACGCACACACCTACACCCTGTCTTGCACGCGCACACACTGCCCTGCGCGCGCGCACACACCTACACACTGCCCTGCACGCACACACACTACCCTGCACGCACGCACACACCTACACCCTGTCTTGCACGCGCACACACTGCCCTGCGCGCGCGCACACACCTACACACTGCCCTGCACGCACACACACTACCCTGCACGCACGCACACACCTACACCCTGTCTTGCACGCGCACACACTGCCCTGCGCGCGCGCACACACCTACACACTGCCCTGCACGCACACACACTACCCTGCACGCACGCACACACCTACACCCTGTCTTGCACGCGCACACACTGCCCTGCGCGCGCGCACACACCTACACACTGCCCTGCACGCACACACACTACCCTGCACGCACGCACACACCTACACCCTGTCTTGCACGCGCACACACTGCCCTGCGCGCGCGCACACACCTACACACTGCCCTGCACGCACACACACTACCCTGCACGCACGCACACACCTACACCCTGTCTTGCACGCGCACACACTGCCCTGCGCGCGCGCACACACCTACACACTGCCCTGCACGCACACACACTACCCTGCACGCACGCACACACCTACACCCTGTCTTGCACGCGCACACACTGCCCTGCGCGCGCGCACACACCTACACACTGCCCTGCACGCACACACACTACCCTGCACGCACGCACACACCTACACCCTGTCTTGCACGCGCACACACTGCCCTGCGCGCGCGCACACACCTACACACTGCCCTGCACGCACACACACTACCCTGCACGCACGCACACACCTACACCCTGTCTTGCACGCGCACACACTGCCCTGCGCGCGCGCACACACCTACACACTGCCCTGCACGCACACACACTACCCTGCACGCACGCACACACCTACACCCTGTCTTGCACGCGCACACACTGCCCTGCGCGCGCGCACACACCTACACACTGCCCTGCACGCACACACACTACCCTGCACGCACGCACACACCTACACCCTGTCTTGCACGCGCACACACTGCCCTGCGCGCGCGCACACACCTACACACTGCCCTGCACGCACACACACTACCCTGCACGCACGCACACACCTACACCCTGTCTTGCACGCGCACACACTGCCCTGCGCGCGCGCACACACCTACACACTGCCCTGCACGCACACACACTACCCTGCACGCACGCACACACCTACACCCTGTCTTGCACGCGCACACACTGCCCTGCGCGCGCGCACACACCTACACACTGCCCTGCACGCACACACACTACCCTGCACGCACGCACACACCTACACCCTGTCTTGCACGCGCACACACTGCCCTGCGCGCGCGCACACACCTACACACTGCCCTGCACGCACACACACTACCCTGCACGCACGCACACACCTACACCCTGTCTTGCACGCGCACACACTGCCCTGCGCGCGCGCACACACCTACACACTGCCCTGCACGCACACACACTACCCTGCACGCACGCACACACCTACACCCTGTCTTGCACGCGCACACACTGCCCTGCGCGCGCGCACACACCTACACACTGCCCTGCACGCACACACACTACCCTGCACGCACGCACACACCTACACCCTGTCTTGCACGCGCACACACTGCCCTGCGCGCGCGCACACACCTACACACTGCCCTGCACGCACACACACTACCCTGCACGCACGCACACACCTACACCCTGTCTTGCACGCGCACACACTGCCCTGCGCGCGCGCACACACCTACACACTGCCCTGCACGCACACACACTACCCTGCACGCACGCACACACCTACACCCTGTCTTGCACGCGCACACACTGCCCTGCGCGCGCGCACACACCTACACACTGCCCTGCACGCACACACACTACCCTGCACGCACGCACACACCTACACCCTGTCTTGCACGCGCACACACTGCCCTGCGCGCGCGCACACACCTACACACTGCCCTGCACGCACACACACTACCCTGCACGCACGCACACACCTACACCCTGTCTTGCACGCGCACACACTGCCCTGCGCGCGCGCACACACCTACACACTGCCCTGCACGCACACACACTACCCTGCACGCACGCACACACCTACACCCTGTCTTGCACGCGCACACACTGCCCTGCGCGCGCGCACACACCTACACACTGCCCTGCACGCACACACACTACCCTGCACGCACGCACACACCTACACCCTGTCTTGCACGCGCACACACTGCCCTGCGCGCGCGCACACACCTACACACTGCCCTGCACGCACACACACTACCCTGCACGCACGCACACACCTACACCCTGTCTTGCACGCGCACACACTGCCCTGCGCGCGCGCACACACCTACACACTGCCCTGCACGCACACACACTACCCTGCACGCACGCACACACCTACACCCTGTCTTGCACGCGCACACACTGCCCTGCGCGCGCGCACACACCTACACACTGCCCTGCACGCACACACACTACCCTGCACGCACGCACACACCTACACCCTGTCTTGCACGCGCACACACTGCCCTGCGCGCG